AAATAACATGGGGTTGGGGACTTTTACGTGTACAGGGCGGCCCTATGTAGCTAGAATGACCATGTTGGGTAGTTCTTTTGCTACATATGTATTGTCTGCCTTCCACCCTAAACCCTAAACCCTAAACCCTAAACCCTAAACCCTAAGCCCCAAACCCTAAACCCAAAGCGCTTGTCTACAACGCTCCTGCTATTTGGATCCAAGCCCCCTTCGAGAGATCCAAGAAAAGGTGGTGGAACTGACAAAGTCGCCCGATGCCCGGCGTCGGAAATCTAAACCAGTTCAACTCTAGACAAGTCGGGTTTAGGGTTTAGGGTTTAGGGTTTAGGGCGACGGCTTGGCGAAGGTTTGCTTTAGGGGTCGAACATTGGGTTGAGTTTGGCTACCATGCGGCCGGGTCACGTATGTTTTGGCTAGTGCCGGGTCTTGAACATGGCTTCAGTCATCTTCAAAGACCAAAAACCCTACTCGAGCCCCCACCCAGCTCGTACGAAACCCCTTCTAAGCCCCTACGAAACCCCTAGTAAACCCCTAGACTCCAAACCCTAAACCCTAAACCCCAAACCCCAAACCCTCAACCCTCAACCCTCAACCCTCAACCCTAAACCCTAAACCCTAAACACCCGAGGACCGGGCACCCACAGTCGGACGGACTTAGAGCCCTCCACGTCATATGACCAGCGGCAGTCGTAGACCAGCGGAAGTCGTAGAAGGATGCTCTTATTGTTATGGTTTTGGGGGGTTTCAGGGTTTAGGGTTTAGTGTTTAGGGTTTTGGGTTTGGGGTTTAGGGTTTAGTAAGCTTGTGGTTCATGGGGTTCCGTTGCCAAGGATTAGAGTATTTGGGGTGTGTACCCACGTCTGATCCGGGGCTCTGTGATTTTAGAACTTTTTGGGGGGCAGGGGGGGGTCTACTGTTGAAGTTCCTAGAATAAAATGGTTTCCTCATTGTGGCAACTGATTCAGCAAGAGGCCTTTACAAGAGTGCACAACCCTCTAAACCCTGGTAGGCTTCAGGTTCCAGATCCAAAAGGTCACTGGTCTGAAACACGCTGGTGACTAGTAAACTCGCAGGCGTTGAGTGAAAAATCCACGAACTATTGTGAGCCCCTCTTTGAGAAGAATTGCCCAATCTTCTACGTAAGCGCGTGGGCTCGTCAGGGCAGACGCATCGATGGCGCAACCGGTCTTGGGATGCAGTTTTATATGCCTGGAAAAGCTGGGGGCGAACACTATATACATATGCCCATTGATCTAGCTACTGATTCTTGCATGCGCGCACATGTTGTATGTACGGGTGTATGTACGTCAGTATGAAGGCCTGTCTGCTTAGGGGTTTAGGGTTTGTAGAGGTGATGCACCCTCAACACATGGGCCCAAAAGGGACTTCTAAACCCTAAACCCTAAACCCTAAACCCTGAACCCTGAACCCTAAACCCTAAACCCTAAACCCTAAAACCTAAACCCTAAACCCTCAACCCTCAACCCTAAACCCTAAACCCTAAACCCTCATGGGGGAGAGATTCCTGTACGAATCTTGAGCTTCGATACCAGCAGAGGATCCCTGGATGCTTCATAAAACGTGCTTGGTTTGTAGGGTTCCAGGTGCCCACATAGGCCTCAATTGATTGCGGGACTTCAGGGACATGTTAGGGTTTAGGGTTTAGGGTTTAGGTTGAGGGTTTCGGGTTTAGGGGGGGGGGGTTTAGGGGATGTTTGATTTCGGGTCCAAGGGTCAAGAGTTTCCAGAAAACTGGGCCCAAGATGGTCATGCCGTAAGAATGGATGTGGCACCGCAAAGTAACCCTAAACCCTGAACCCTACACCCTAAACCCTACACCCTAAACCCCCAAACCATAACCACGGAGCCGCGCAGGTACTAGTTACTAGTAGGCCCGCCAGCAGGACTTGCGAGCGCATCAACTCCCGCTCAGACTTGAAGAGCTCGGATATGCAAAGGGAAACTACTAATTGCTTAAGAACCCACCTCCCCCCCCCCCCCCCCAAAAAAAAAAAAAAAAATTCTCCTTATAAGGGCAATCTCGGGATTTTCGTGTTGTCATGTTTTTTTTTTGTGGGGGTTCTTAAGCGAATAGTAGGAAAAGTGAGGCCCTCCATGGGGTCATAGGTCCAGAAGTTAGAGTTTAGGATTCTAGGGTTGAGGGTTTAGGGTTTAGGGTTTAGGGTCTAGGTTTGAGGGTTTAAAGCTTAAGGTCTAGGGTTTAGGGAGGTATTCAAGAAGGTTTTCTCAGCGGGTGGCTTGGTTTTCGACACAGGAAGAACTAGACAACGGACGGCCCGAATGTCGAAAAAACAACGAAGAAAGTCCATCGGGAGCAAGACCGTCTCGAATGGATCCAAATGGGTTAAGCCTTAAGCAGGAACGTACCATGATGGCTGCCAATTCAACAGATTGATGACGATCCATCACCCGCCATCAACGTCCGGCTATACAGCGTGAACCTGCGAATGAAGGATTACGCAGATGCCGCCAGTACCCCCCAAAACCCTACACCGTGAACCCCTAAACCCGACACTCATGAACACTATATAGCTGCAAAAGTTTGGCGAAATGGAACCCGCGCGGACACGCGGACGCGCGGACACGCGGACGCGCGGACACGCGGACGCGCGGACACGCGAACACGCGGCGCGGACGCGCGAACATGCGGACGCGCGGATGCGCGGACGCGCGGGACGCGCGAATGCGCGGACACGCGGACGCGCGGACGCGCGGACGCGCGGACGCGCGGGACACGCGGACGCGCGGACGCCGGACGACGGACGCCGCGGAACGTGGACTCGCGGACACACATGGACGCGCGCACGCGCGGAGGTGCGGGGACACGCGGACACGCGGACACGCGGAATGCGCGGACCGCGACGCGCGGACCCGCGGACGCGCGGACCCTCGGACGCACGGACCCGCGGACGTGCGGACGCGCGGATGCGCGGGCGCGCGGACGCGCGGACACGCGGCGCGGACGCAGCTACCTGACGTTCATAAGTCAAACCCGAAGCCCTTGACCTGAAACGGGCATGCCCCACACCCCAAACCCGAAAAGACAGAAATTGGACTTTAGGGTTTTGTCCTCAACCCTAAACCCTAAACCCTAAACCCTAAACCCTAAACCCTAAACCTAAACTTCTACCCAACAAGCGCCCCGTCACTGTCAGAGCAGGAGCCACACGTAACGTGGCGAAAGATTGCGACTGCCCTTTGGAGCCCTAGAGCCAGCAGGGGCGTCGCGGATGAGACCTTACAAATCTTTCGGTCAAAGATCTCGGGCGAGGCCCCAAAGCCCCAAAAAGCCTGCACAATCCCGGCGCCCGAAACCCTAGAACCCTAAACATCCACCAACCCCAACCATTCAAGTTGTCAAACGCCTCGAGTTGCCAAAAATCTCGAACCCTTCGACTCCTAAAGCCCCAGAGCCTAGAATTGACATGGCCTACCGTGCCCAGGATGGGTCAAGGTTTAGGGACTAGGATGCCGGATTTCGGGCCATAGGGGGCTTTCTTTCATGGCTCTGCCTGAAGACTACGCCCTAAACCCTAAACCCTAAACCCTAAACCCTTCAGCCCTGCAGTACTTCCAGTATTGTTTGCGGATGCAAAGAGATGTCCCACAAAGGTCTCTAGCAGACCGCGATAGGTCTATGAACATGGGGACTTCAGCTCCCAAACCCCTTGCAGCAAAATCGGGTTTAGGGTTTAGGGTTTAGGGTTTGGGGTTTAGGGTTTAGGGTTTAGGGCTTAGGGTCCCCAACATAGCGACTCCTTGGTTGCGAGGTGCTTGTTCTTTTGGAAGGTTTGGGGTTGCAAGAAGCAGAATCGGCCCTCGACTTTCGGCCTACGACCTAAACCCTAAACCCTAAACCCCAAACCCAAACCCTAAACCCTAAACCCTAAACTCTAAATTTGGGGATGTGGTTCCCATCCGCAGACTCTCCGGTGTCTGCAGGCTGCAGTGCTTCGATAGTAGAGACTTTTGGCAGTAAGGCTGAAGGTGGCTTCAGGGGTTAGGGTTTTGGTCTGCAGGGAGGTTTCAGGGTTTAGGGGTTCCAGAGTGTAGGGTTTAAGGCTTAAGAAAGTTCAGGGGTGGAGGGTTTAGAGTTGAAAGGGTGCAGGGCGTAGGGTGTAGGGTGTAGGGTTTCGGGTGCATATAGTGTTTGTAGGGTAAGAGTTACAAGTGTTACAGGGCCTGTAGGGCTTTGCCCTACCTTCTGGAGCTGCGCTGATAAACGCCGAGATCTTCTCGGATGGGTTCAAGCTTGGGGCTGCGGGGCTTAGCCAGTCAAGACGTGGTCTGCAGCGGGGTTTGTGGGTTTAGGGGCTTGGGGGTTTAGGGTTTATGGTTCAGGGGTTGCCGGGTTGTGGGCTGACTTAGGGAGTTCAACACATTCATGAAGCACCGCTTGCCAGTCCTAACTAGAATTCTACGATTGCGAAGAAGTAGGACAGGAGATACCTGACCCACCAACGCCTAGCTAAACGAAGTTGAGGAAGCAAAATTCAGCCGAGGAGTCTCACTCCCAAAGAGGCGGCCGAATATTCATATTCCACGTTCTTCAAGACGAGACCCGAATCAAAAAGAAGGAACAGCTCAAGGACGGCGAGCCTCCCGCCCCCGAACCTCGAAATTCCCCGAATGCACGGGGTTAGGGTTTAGGGTTTAGGGTTGAGGGTTGAGGCGGTCTTGGTGCGATGGGCCAGTGGTAAGGTGATGACCGGTGGCAATCGGCAAGCAGGGTTTAGATTTAGGGTTTAGGGTTTTAGGGTTTAGGGTTTTAGGGTTTAGGGTTTAGGGTTTAGGGTTCAGGGTTTAGGGTTTAGGGTTTAGGGTTTAGGGTTGCAGAGTCTAGGTTTCAGGTTGACCTACGAACCCCAACTCCCTTCCTTGCAAAGCGTGCAGCCCTAAACCTATGCCACACTCTCTGAGATACGTCCTCATTGGCTTCTATCTTGGCCCATGGCCATCTAACACCATTGGTGTATCGATCAGAGATTGCATGCTCCTGACGGGAAAGACCCTCAGCCCTAAACCCTTAACCCTAAACCCCAATAGGGTTTAGGTGGTTAAGGGGTGCTTCGAATCCGGTGTGGGCCTCCGCTGGAGAGGGGGAGTGCATTTAAAGTCCTGGATGTTTGCTTCAATGCAGTGGCGGACTCTGGGTTTAGGGTTTAATTAGGGTTTAGGGTTTAGGGTTTAGGGAAAAGCATTCCATCCAGGAATCAAGCTTGCTTGGCTTGTCCTGAGGGCCTCTTTGGGGGGATGTGCCACTGAATTGCCCAGGGTGCTTGCCAAGTCCTGACGAAACCCTAAACCGTCCGTTTTCTGCTCTTGCCCAGCTGTGTGTTCCAGGCTTGTTTTCCTGAGGGACGCTGAAGCTCAACTCTAAACCCCAAACCCTTATGGTAAACCCCCAAATTAAACTTAAAACCTGCAGGGTGCAGGATTTAGGTTCAGGGATTAGCGTAGGGCACCTGATTCCCGAAGCCCCTACTAAACCCTAAGCCCTACATCCCAAACCCCAAAACCAAACCCTAACCCTTCTCTTTAACCTCCAGATTGCCAAAGTAGCTATCCCAAGGGCGACTGATGGGGAGACGCAGAACGCAACCTGTACCTTAAACTCCCCCAAGAAAGAACCACGCTCTCCTTGAACGTGGAAGCAGTGAATTTGCCGAAAGGTTTCGCCCAAGGCTTCCACCTGGCACAAGAATCAGCACCCTCAGCCCTGAACCCGAAAACACCCGAACCCATCACGCATAGCGTACGCCCCCTTGGGGCTTCCCTTTCGCGTAGTTCAGGCTTCGGGGGTCTTTGGGTCTTGGGGTTTAGGGTTCAGGGACTTGGGTCCTAAACCCTAAACCCTAAACCCTAACAAAACCCTAAACAATAAACCCTAAACCCTAAACCCTAAACCCTAAACCCTAAACCCTAAACCCTAAACCCTAAACCCTATGAGCTGAGGCGGTGGCCATGCGGGCCGCCCAAGCACGGATGATATCCGGCTCTTCCTTGACCTGCTTGGTGAAGCTCCGGGACCTACTAGGGTTTAGGGTTTAGGGTTCAGGGCTTAGGGGAAGCATCCCAAGCAGCCCAACCCCACGACCCCAAACCCCCACTCCCCGCCACCTTCCCTCACAGAAGATGAAGCAACCTTGGGACAAAGGACCCAGGGCTACATGCGTACTCACCCTAAACCCCAAGATTTGCTGCCCATCCTCTTGCAGTAGCTGTTCATACTCAAGGCTCCCTTGTTAAGGAATGTGATTCCACTTTGAGGGACCCTGTCCCCCTATGGCCCTGTTGTTAACAACCCAGCATATAATGCCTGAAACCTAAACCCTAAACCTCATGGGTTCTCCTACTACCCCCCCTCTCTACTACCCCCCTAGGTTCCCCCATAATTAAGGCTACTTAGGGATAATAGGGGGGTAGTAGGGGAACCCATGAAAACCCTAAACCCTAAAAACCCTAAACCCTAAACCCTAAACCCTAAATCCTAAACCCTACAAGGATGGCAACCATTGCGTCGAGATGCAGCCAGGCAGATCATGTCCATGATCCTGCCCAGCTCGGGTCTCAAGGGTTTAGGGTTTAGGGTTTAGTAGGGTTTAGGGTTTAGGTTTGGGGTTTGGGGTTTAGGGTTTAGGGTTTGGGGTTTAGGGTTTAGAAAACCCATGGGTTGAGAGCGAGGCTCTTCGGCTTCAAGGGGGTCAACCCCTGAACCTTCAACCCCAAACCCGGGCTGTATGCAAGAAACACATCCGGCTTGAGGCTTGCAGTCTGTTAGGGGTTCGGGGCTTAGGGGATTAGGGGTTTCGGGTTTCGGTGTTAGCGTTGTAGGAGTTAGGAATTGACATTTTCCTTGCTACCCTAAACCCTAAACCCTAAACCCTATACCCTAAAGCCTAAAGCCTAAACCCTAAACTGCCGAGAGCGCCGCTGTGCATTTACATGGGCGCTCGAGGCTTCGACCGAGGTCCCCGACCGAGCGTCTCCACAGAACGGTGAGGGAGGGTAAAGCCTCCCGGTAGACGAGACGGCAGTGCCTGGCTGCGCTCAGACCAAGGGCGTAAGCCCTTTCAAGCCGATTGCGTGTGGGTGTTTTTTTTGGGGGTCTGGGAGTACTTTTCCCGGGGGGTCTGGGGCCCTGAGCTGGCAGATTCCGGCCCCCCCCCTCTCTTTTCTGGGTCCGCCTCAAACCCCCCATCCCTCCCTTCCTGGATGGCTGGATGCCCACCCACCTGAGCCTATCTCTGCACCTTTTGACTTTGCAAGCAGGGGCCGGGCGAGGCCCCTGCTTCCCCTAGTGTTTGCTGCCCTGGGGCTGCGTGGGCCGGGCTTTGGGCACTCCTCCATTTTACTCCGTGAAAGCTCCAAGAAGCCTACGAGCCACTGACAGGCTCCACAAAGCTCAGGAGGCCCCACCCTGCTCTTTCTCTGTAAAAAGCAAGAAAGCCCCGGTGAACCCTAAACCCTAAATGAGAATAGTTTGGGTGGTTGGGGTGGGACTACATGCTAACGCAAGCGAGCGGCCCGGGTGCTTTTAGCACCAGCGAGCTTCCCTGCTATACACCCTAAACCCTAAACCCCAAACCCCAAACCCTAAACCCTATGCCGCAATGTCCGAGGCCCTGCACACGCCTCATTGTCAAAACCTTCGGCAGCCGGCATGTAGGCAGCTCACCTCGCCGGGGGCCCTGGACCCTACTTAAGGCTCTCAGTCTGATGTCGAGTCTAAACATTAACCTAGCCCGAAATTGTAGAACTTCCTAACAAACGTGTGACTACTCACCCTAAACTCTAAACCCTAAACCCTAAAACCAAAACCCAAAACCCCAACCCGAATCCATTTTCAATCGCCAAGTGCAACTTGTCTTCCGGTGACTCTTGCCAGAGCCCTCTTCTTGCTTCAGGTACCTCTGAGTTCAGTGCCAGCCCCCTGAGTGTCAACCTAAGCCCTAAACCTTTTTGACATGGACAAATTGAACCTCTCATAAACCCTAAACCCCCAAAACCCTACACCCAAAACCCTAAACCCAACAGCCTAAACCCTGCCGACCCCCTCACCCCCCCGCCCCCCCGCCCTCCCCCCCGCAACAGCGGCCGCCTCTTGGTTGGGTTGCTGCAAAAAGCGCGCTCCACTCCTCAAGTGACCCTTGTGGGGCCCCCAGAACCACCAAGCCACTCGTTTAGGGTTTAGGGTTTAGGGTTTAGGGCTTCGGGATTAGGGTTTAGGGTTTGGGGACCCAACTCTAGGGCCCTCAACCTGTAGGGTATTCTGAAGGGTTTCAAGTCTCTTTAAGGGCTTGGATGGGGATACTTCTTGAAGGAAGGGATCGGGTGTGTTGAGGGACTAAACCCTAAACCCTAAACCCTAAACCCGAAACCCTAAACCCCAAACCCTAAACCCTAAACCCCAAACCCTAAACCCCAAACCCAAAACCTAAACCCTAAACCCAAAACCTGGGGCTTGGGGGCGTTGGAGGGTTAGGGGCTTAAGTAGTGTGTTCCCACTCGGGGAGGTGCCTGGACCCGAAGGGCCCCTAGGGTTTAGGGTTTAGGGTTTAGGGTTTAGGGTTTAGGGTTAGGGGGGTTTAGGGTTGAGGGTTGCAAGGTTTAGACTAGGCGGTGGTGTCCGGAAGCATGGCGCGGAGTCTCGAGATGAAGTTGGTGCAGGGTTGCAACGTCGCAGGGCTACCGAGGGATTAGGGTTTAGGGTTTAGGGTTTAGGGTTTAGGGCCCTCAAAACACCTGTCCCCAAATTGAACAATCCTGCTGAAGGGACTCTTTTTGGGGTAGTCCATCTTCTATGGGACCTATAGCACCGTAGGAGACTACTACCAACACCTCAAACCCTAAATTTAACGGACCGTTAGCCCCACAGAAAATTTCGAAACCCTATAAACGCTAAACGCTAAACGCTAAACGCTAAACGCTAAACGCTAAACCCTAAACCCTAAACCCTAAACCCTGTAAACCCTAAACCCTAAACCCTAAACCCTAAACCCTAAACCTACGGTCTGAAAGCCGAGCTGCCGCATCTGTCATCTCGGAAGGCTGAAGGCTGGCCATGGGACTCGGATGGCACGCGCTGGTTAGTGTCGGATTCAGAGTTTCGGGTTTCGGGTTTAGGGTTTCGGGTTTAGGGTTTAAGGTTTGGGGTTTCGGGTTTAGGGTTTGGAGTTTCGGGTTTAGGGTTCAGAGTTTAGGGTTTGGAGTTTCGGGGTTTAGGGTTTAGGGGGTTTAGGGAGTAGAGTTTTGGGTCTTTTTTAGGGTTTAGGGGGTTTAGGGAGTAGAGTTTTGGGTTTTTGACCCTGAACCACATTCAAGGGTCTCGGAGGCCTCCGCGGAGTTGTGCCTGGAACGATGCCTTTGCGTTTGGGGTCTGGGGCTGTTAGTTGAGGCCACTCTGGGCTGTTTTGGGTTTCGGGTTTCGGGTTCAGGGTTTAGGGCTCAGGGTCGCAGAAGCACGCGAACAGGTAAAGACCCCAACCCTGCATCCAGCCCCCTTTCATCTAGGTACAGCTAGCATCCCCCGCGAGCCGTCGGGCCTTTTGGGGTTTTGGGGTAGCCCTAAACCCTAAATCCTAAACCCCAAACCCTAAACCCTAAACCCAAAACCCTAGACCTTAAACCTTAAACCCTACACCCTCAACCCTAAACCCAAAAGGCTGAAGAGTCTCGTTCACGGACAGCAATCGCCTGGATGCAACGCGATTGGCATTCAAGGCCGGCTTGGAGATCGGCCCTTCTTTGCATTTCATCCCGCCCGGCGGAGTCTAGGGTTTCGGGTTTAGGGGTTTAGGGTTTAAAGGGTTTAAAGGGTTTAAAGGGTTTAAAGGGTTTAAAGGGTTTAAAAGGGTTTAAAAGGGTTTAAAAGGGTTTAAAAAGGGTTTAGAGCGTAGATTCTTGCATGACATAGTTAAGTTCAAGGGGTTCAAAAGTTTGGGTCCAAACCTGGGTTTAAGCCTTTAGACCCCTAAACCCTCAACCCTGACATTGGTCCAGGTGGCAGCAGGCCCGAGTACACAAAGCTCAGGCTGAATAGTCCTGCGGCCAACTTGCCGTGGCCTCGGCTCGTAGGAATTCTAGATCCTGACGCTAAGGTTTAGGGGTTAGGGGTTAGGGCTTAGGGTTTAGGGTTTAGGGCCAAGCCCTGAACCGAAATCCTAAACCCAAAAGGGGCCCCCCACACTGTAGGGTTTAGGGCGGGTGGACGACTTGGGTTAATCCTAGTATTTGGGGGTCTAAATTAATCCTAACCCTAAACCCTGAACCCCCAACCCTTTTCGGTGCGCCGATCCTCAATCTAAGTGTATAGGGTTTAGGGTTTCGGGTTTAGGGCTAGGGATTGAGACAATTTCCAAATCCGAACCCCAAACCCTTCAAACCCAAGCCCACAATGCCAACCCCCGACATCCCAAGCCCTGCTCTAAACCCCCTCCAAAGAAAACAATCCAAAGCCCCAACCCTGCACCCTAAATCCTAAACCCTGAGACAAGGTTGTTCAGAAACCCCTGCAAAAAACCCTAAACCCTAAACCCTAGACCCTAAACCGATAGGACCGATGTCCGGAGGGTAAAAAACGAACAGAAACGAGAAGCATGTATGAACCGCCCAGAAGACCAAGCCGCGCTTTAGCGTTTAGGGGAGCTTAGGGCTTAGGGTTTAGGGTTAGGGTTTAGGGTTTAGGGTTTAGGGTTTGGGGTTTGGGGTTTGGGGTTTAGGGTTTAGGGTTTAGGGTTTATGGCCACGAAAGGTGTGATGGTTGCTTGCTGCTTGCTGCCCGTTTGGGGTTTAGGGCTTTCCCCCCGCCGCCCCATCCACCTGTTGTTCAACGAGTGTCACGCCAAACTCACAATGTCAGTAGATTGCACAGGCACCCAAAATGCTAGGTCAATCAAATCCCTCACCAACAAAAAGCTCCGAGAGTTTGGAAAGAGAACCTGCAAAGGCCCTTCCCAAAGGCCCCCCAAAGGCACCCAACAAAGGCACCCAACAAACTTCACTTCATCATGTGGGCTTGAATCGAGGCCGCAACCGCCCGCCTTCTCAGCCAAAGCAATAGCCCCAAAACCTCCGGTCAAAAACTCCGCAGCCTAAACCCTAAACCCCATACTAGGCCCTCATACTGAAGCAACCCTAAACCCTAAACCCTATAACCCTAAACCCTAAACCCTATAACCCTAAACCCTACCCTAGGCCCTCTACAATTTCTATACTGAAGCCAGTCCCAGCATCTCAGCTCAGGGGAGGCTGGAAAGCACATAACCATGGCCTCAGGATGTGAGAAGGCTTTGCGGTATAGGGTTTAGGGTTTAGCGGATAGGATTTCGGGTTTAGGGTTTAGGGTTTAGGGTTTACGGTTTAGGGTTTAGGGTTTAGGATACAGGTGGATGTTTTTGACATTTGGGCTGGGATTGCTGGCTAATATTGCCCTCTAACCTGCAGTCTTCTTGCGCGTGTATGTGCGGCGCTCGCTATGATCACTAAAACAATAACCCCGACAGCCTTTCACACACCCTGGCCAACCCCCTCTTTTGGGCTTGGGGTTTTGCAAAGCTTGTCGGGGCTAGTGCGGCACACTTGTTTCTCCGGTCCCGCGCCTAGGTTGCAGCGAAGAGACATGGGCAAACAATCATGGGTGGAAAAGGAAAATACGAAACTAAGAAACTTCGCTGTGATAGTTTCAAATGCTCAGGAATCCGAAACTCAAAACCCTGAACCCTGTACCCTAAACCCTCAACCCTCAACCCTAGACCCCAAACTCTAAACCCTAAACCAAAATTTGAACTGTGGTAGGGCACCTAAAGCACCTCCACGGACAGATGGCGGTTTAGGGTTCAGGCTTTAGGTTGTAGGATCGATGTGCCAATGCAAGGGTTTAGGGTTTAGGGTTTAGGGTTTAGGCTTTAGGGTTTAGGGTTTAGCGTTTAGCGTTTAGGGTTTAGAAGCTGACACCCGAACCTCAGACCTGACTCGTGTCGTCCGGAGTTCAGATCCACTCTCAGGTGTGGGTTGGGGTTGAGGGGTCAGGGTTTAGGGTTTAGGGTTTAGGGTTCAGGGTTCAGAGTTTAAGGTTCAGGGTTCAGGGTAGAATTAGAACCCAGGCTTTGAGGCAATGCCGCAGTACAAGCCCTGTACAAGCCTTTCACCCAAGGGCCGGGTTCTTTTGGTCCTAGGTCAGGACCTAACTTACGATTTGGACTTCGGGAGTTTAGGAGGTTCCCCCAAAAGCCTATAAACCCTTTCCCCCCCCCACCCGCTCCCCCCCTCCCCAAACAAGCCTAAAACCCTAAACCCTAAACCTTAAACCCTTATTAAAGCCTTAGAACCAAGGCAACACCGCAAGCCGAGGCGCTCGTGCGAACATCAAAACTTTTCCGTGCATCTGCTGGATGGGAACTTGGTACTCCCGGCCTTGGCTCTTCAGCAGATGAAGACATCTGTTTGGGGTTTAGGGTTTAGGGGTTAGGGTACTCGAGTGCGTGGTTTCTGGCGTGACACAACAGGGCGTTGGATGAACTGTGGCGCCCGTGAGGACCCAGGCTCCTGAGCCCGAAACCCTGAAAACTCAGCTCCTGCTCCTCTGAACATATAAACCCTAAACCCTAAACCCTAAACCCTAAACCCTCTACCAATACCCGAAACCTTACAGCGGCCTGTAGAGGACACAACGGAACTCCCATCGCTTCGCCGGTTTAGCAGAGCTAGTTGGCAAAATGAACCCCGCCCAAAAGAAGAAGTGAACAGGGGCCAACCCAATCCCCCCCGACCTTCAACACGGGCTCCCACAGCCCTGCCAGACCCAGGACAGGAGTAACCTAGGAATAAGAAAAGGGCACCCTTTTTGGGTTTAAGGGGACTACAAGGGATCCCAGCCCTAAAAAAAAATGAGGACCTGCTCCGGGTCCTAGCCCTAAACCCTAAACCCTAAACCCCAAACCCTAAACCCTAAACCCCTGAGCTCTGAGGCTAGGCACCAGCCAGGCGCCCGAAGCGAGTGAAGTAGACACGGCACCACTGCTCAACGCAGGGGACCTCTGCCTCGCCACACGAGACGTCTCCCCTTCCTCCCCTGATCGTTTCTACCCTCCTACACCCTAAACCCTAAACCCTAAACGCTAACCCTAAACCCTAAACCCTAAAAAATCAACCGACAGCCGTCGATGCCGAAATCGTCAACCCTCAACCCTCAACCCTTAACCTACACCCTACCCCAGACGAGCTTGAGCTAGTGGGGGTTTGACACCTGCCACAGCAGGACCCCTGTCAAGAACTCCCACAGCCAAAGCCCTGAAGACATCCAGATCACTGAATCCTGTTCCTGGCAGCCTAAACCCTAATCCCTAATCCCTAAACCCTAAACCCGAAACCCTAAACCCTAAACCCTAAACTCTAAACTCTAAACCCTAAACCCTAAACCCTAACCCCGAACCCTACACCCTAAACCGTTTCTGTAAGCATGCCGCCTGGTGCTTGGGGGAGTTTAGGGTTTAGGGTTTAGGGTTCAGGGTTTAGGGTTTAGGGTTTAGGGTTCAAGGTTTAGGGTTTAGGGCAGTTTAGGGTGTAGGGCCTGTAGGGCTTGGGGTTTAGGGTGTTTCGGGCTTAGGGTTGAAGGTGTTGAAGTGTTTGTCAGGGTTTTGGAAGATGTTCTGAAGGGCTTCAAGGCTGAAGGCACTAGCTCCGACCGTCGGGAATCATCGAACGGTTTTGGGCTGAGTAAATACCCTAAACCCTAAATACCCTAAATACCCTAAATACCCCAAATACCCTAAACACCCTAAACACCCTAAACCCTAAACCCCATACCCCAAATCCCAAACCCCACCTGCCTGCCAATCCAGGGCCTTCAACACCGTCTTCTCGTGCGATGCGAGAGTTCGGTTCGACACTTCCTGCAGGGACGTGAGCAAATTTTTCATGTAGTGCTCATGCCCGAAACCTCTGGCCGCAAACCCTAAACCCTAAACCCTAAACCCTAAACCCTAAACCCTAAGCCCTAAACCCTAAACCCTAAACCCCGAAACTCAAAATCCTGATCGAAACCTCAACCCTGAACGCCCTAAGCACCCC